ATGAAGACCGTTCCTGTATAACTCCGCCGGTGCAATAGCACCGACCGATAAAGATGCTCTAAATACGGTAATTTCATGCCACCCTCCCTCGATCTGACCTGGATCCTCGCAAGCCAGTCGGGCAGGGCGATCAGGGCCCACACCCGCCCCAAGCCAACACACGCCGACCCGCTACCTCCCCCCGCTCCGCGTCGCCCCACGACGCACAACATGGCGGCCCACGCGAGGCGGCCCCCGGCAGCGCTGAGCCCGCCCTGCCCGCCGCCGGCGCTGCCCGTTCGCCTGAGCGCGAGGCCCTCGAGAACGCCGTTGGGAGTTCTGGGATTGGGCCGTGGATCGGCCCGCGGGTTGTCGCGACCCCTCCCGGGCGGGTTGGTGGTTCAGGGGCAATGGCGGCGCGGGGCCTCCAGCCAGGTGAGCCGCGATCGGCGGCCAGTCCTCCACGAAAATCCCCTTGGCTGGGAATTCTTTTCTTGGACTTCTCGTTTCTTGGTTTCTTTTTCTTCTTCCCAAGGTGGCGTCGAAATCTGCGTGCGGGTGGGGTGGGGTGGGGGGGAAGGCAGGGGTTGGTCGAAAGGTATTATATAATGAGGCGGCTGGGGAAGGCGAAGGGCCCGAGGCGGTTGCGGTAGGCTGACGCTGTAGTTAACGAACAGTTTTGCGTGTGCGTGTGCGGCAGAGCGGCGGGGCGCCCGGCAGCGGGGACGCGAACGAGAACGCGGGAGGTAATGGCGGAGGCGCATGGCGTCACGATTGCTGCGGCTAAAGACCCCCTCCTCCACAGAGCAAGACTGTTTGTGACACCTTGCCATGGCCATGACCACGGAGTGGTCTAAAATGTGGTCCAAAGAGTGCTCAAAAGAATGCCGCCGCACTATCCTTGCCCTCTGTTGGAAGGCTGGTTTCTTCATGTCAGCCCCCTCCGTTCACCCGTCCGCCGCCGCAATTGTCGCCCTGCTGTGTCGCAGAGCTGGACTTCCTGTCCATCATCGGCGCCCTGGGCATGTGGCTGGCGTACGGCGCGAGCATCTACTGGACAGTGCTGAGGCCCGATGCGCCTGGGGACCCCCTGTGGGAAACTTCGCCGCGGGACGTCCAGGTGAGTGGCCCGCTTCTCGCCTGCATGCCACCCTCGGCTTCCCCTGCCTTCTTGGGCCTCTTGGGAGCTGCTTTGTCGTGCGCCCAAACTTTTTCCGATACGGACCACTTAGACTCACGCTGAGCGGTTGGGCTCTTAGTTTTTTAGGTCAGTTTTTTTCAGGTTTTCTAGAGTTTTTAAGGTTTTCTTATTTTTTAGTTTCTTTTAGTGTTTTTGGTTTGTTCAAGCGTTTTGTAATTTTTTGAGGGTATAGGGCAGAAGAGTATATATAAGGTCTCTGCCTCCGTATCAGGGTTCAGCACGGGAAACATCGTCGTTTGTGTGAAGACGCGCCGTGATTTGATCAGGCATCCGATTTGGAAGCCAGAAATTTGCACAGTGTGCTTTGTGCAGCTCCGGCCCAATATACTGGACGAAAGCGCGAGTGTATGAATTCGGGCAACAAAGCGCCAACATTGTTGACATAGCGTCGTTTGAATGGGCGCGAATTAGCGAAGTTGGAGTGCTTGCAGCAGAAGCAAATGACACAACCCTTGCGTTGCTAGGTATACTGTTTGGCATGTGCGGACAACAGGTATACATGACCATATGTAATAGACTGGAGCCACAAGATTCTCCATTAGGCTCCTCGTTCTAACCCACAATGTGTTGATATGCTGTGTGATTTTCCATTGAGCTTGTCTGGAAATGTCCTAAACTGGCATAAGTATTTCTTCCAGGATATCAGCTTTCTTTGACCTGCATGGGTAAAAGCTTGAAATCTTGATCCTGGTCAAAAGTTCCAATTTTGACCCGTTATGGAATGAACATGCTCTATGTCAGCAGCGATGTTGATCTTTTGATTGCTGTGAACTTCTCGAGCTAAATTCGCCTTCTCAAGACAAGCAGGGCCCTTTCGCGTTTGAGGCGATGATCATCATATGCTGCACATCCAAAATGTTTTGTGTGGGTTGTTTGTAGTTTATTTTTCTCCTTGCCAACTGCCTCCATTACACAATGACAGTTATCATTTGAATGGGCACAATGTGTCACCATTTTCAAGGTGCGAAGACCCTTGTTCCGCTGTCTGGCGGCCAATGTAGCCACAAAGTCTTGCTGGTGAATGAATGAATGAACATCCTTACAAGCAACGTGAAAATTCGACATGTCATTCATGTCGCGTGTCTCTGCCAAACTCAGATAGTCAGACAGCATCCCCTTGCTAGCGGTCTACAGAGTCTTGCTGGTGAAACGTGCCAATAGAATGAAAGCAGAATTTCACAACTCAGCATACTTGCGCCGAAAACAGTCGCCTCATTTCACCCTTCACCTGTGGGGCTGAGGTTCTTTTTGCCATGCTTCTCAAGGTCCTCATGGCCCACTAAAGAAACTTATGCTAACTGATGATCTTGGCACAGTGGAGATTCGTGCCTTGGCCAGTGTCTCATTTTCTCAGCAGCGCAATGAACACTCCCACTCATTCATCCATGTGCATGGTGGCAGGCATTCATCAACGAGGCTATCAGCGTCTGGTACATTAACCCCATTCTTGCACATTTTGGGTGGTCCATTCTTCCGGATGCACCTGAACATCCCGTTGCAGAGGCACTGTTCAGCACAGTGATGGCGTTTGATGTCTTGCTGCTTCCACTCATCGCGGGAGACCCCAGGGGCAAAAATGTGGAACAGAGGAACGCCTTGATGATCGGCAGCTTGTTTGGGTTGAATCTGGTTGTGATGCCATACATGGCGCTTAGACTTCAACAACCATCGACAGGTGGGTAGCTGTCGAGCCTGCGCATAGCAGTTCAGCAGTTATTTGTTGGATTACATACAAATGTTACTATTTACCCCTAAAAGCGCACTTCCTCCATCCGAGATTAATTGTCGTCTCTTTGCAAGACAAAGTTCGTTGCAAGGATGGCCTCTAAATTACAAAACAAGTTGAAAATCGGCAAGATTGGGTTCCAAAATCCTTAACCACCAATTTTCAAGAAGAAAAAGTGAGAATCGACCCTTTTAAGCGTTGGGCAAAAGGTTTGTTATGTTCATTTTTCACGCCAAATATCGAGTTTTAGTAGGTAAAAGGACCCTTGATACAAAGTACTGCCATATCCTCAATGCTCAACGGATTGGCTTGAGACTTTGATAGTACACTCCGAACTTACAAGCACAACTTTGTGTGAGATTTCATTGAGAACTGATGTCGTTACGATGGAAGAGTGATGCCCCAAAGTGAAAGACGACAATTAATCTTGGGCAGAGGAAGTACATTTTAGGCTTGGAATCATACTGAGAGATGAACAGACATCTTCATCAATAAGATGATGGTCTGAGAAGCCAGTGCCCTTGCATGCACAAGGCGATGGCCCGAGCGATTCATGATGGGTTGGTATTGCACTTGATATATGTGTCTAATTATGGCTGTTCCCCATTGAGTTGACCACGGTGATCCCTGAATGTTGGGTTTAGTTGTTATCCTGTGAGTGCATGGCTGGACACACGAATGGCGATCGTAGGGATTCTACTGTGTAATCCCCAGCCAAAGGATATCAAAACTCCTCAAGGGTTGCATTGTTTGCTGGTAAGCTTTGCACCAGTTGCTAAAAGGAGCATCATGGCTTCATTTTGTATAGCGAGTGCATGCAGGTGTCCCCTTGCTCCATTTCGCACACTCCACGTTCGTCGATGCACTGGGTCTGAATTGTGGTCACGATTTGCTGTGAAGGCTGTCACATGTATATCCCAGGAGCAATGCAAGCAGGGTATCAAAGCCAGTTTCACTGATTGCAGTGATCAATATGCACTGAGGAGGACCAGGGGTGCTGAACGACTGTTGCGGCGATTGGTTTCTCATCACCGATCTCCATCGCATTGCAACTGCACTCAACTTGGTGTTGTATGCTGCCAGGCGTCCAGAAACTAGACTTACCAGGGTGGGCGCCTGCTGCTGGCTATTTCGGTCTCGCCATGGCCGGTATGACGCTGTTCTGGATCCTGTTCGCACGGCCTGAATATGGTGGCTTGATGGACCGGGTCGCCTTTGCGCAGCAAGCCTTCACCGGCAACAGAGTGTTCTACGCCCTGTGCACTGATTGCATGTTCTTTGCCATCTTCCAAGCCATCCTCATGAAGGGCGCCCCTTTGCGCCTGCGCCTGATTCCCTTCATCGGTGCAGCCCTCTGGCTTGCGTTTCCCAACGCCTGGGAGGAGAGCAATGACTGAAGGTGCAATGACTGAGGTTCCGGGATGTCGATCTTGCTACCTGTACATTACGACGCCTTTTCGTGGGTTTTTGAGACTGCTCCGCCCACCGCAGATTGCTATCAGTCTATTGGGATGATTTGCAGACCAGTTGTTCGACTTGGGAGTACGAACTGCTGTTTTTGAAGGAGCCTGAAACATTTGAATGAAAGTTCCGAATTCGGTATGCATGGAGGACAGAGCACTACTGTATTGGAGATTGGGATCGGTGAATTTGCTGGTTGTTGTACGCATAGCCACACAATTGAGCTGAAGGCAATGGGCAAAGATTCGGAATGCGACACTCGCTGTGTTCGCAGAGGCCACCATGGGGAGAGTGCGTCGGGTGGATGTCCCGCTGGCGTTGTCGGTGTGGTGAATGCGATCGCTGCCAACATCTGTCATTCCATATGGGTGTGGCTTGCTTCCACCAGACCGCTGGAAACAAGACTGCCTGGCACTCCAACCACATGACAGTGTCCACGACGCTGCAACACACGCCAAATCTTATCAGCACGGCATCAGTACGGTGTACATTGTCCAAGTGGACCACTGTTCAACAGCCTTTGGATTGAGAGCAACATCATGACAGCATGATGCATGGGAGGCGCTGCGTGCCTGGATGTTTGTTCTTGCGAGGTGGCACGTGTTGAGCCGCTTCGCTGCATCCAGCAACACAAGAACCGCAGCGGCATTGCTGCACTGAGTTCTATGCACCTCTGACATTTCGTATTCTCCATCGATCTGCGCTTGACGATGTGCCCCCACTCCGCGGTTCAGATAGTGAAACCCACTGCTGCAAGCTCTGAACTAAATCAAGGACACTTCAAAGAGTGTCCCGCGTGTGGGTGGGGTCGCAAAAAGCCACGCCACCTGTGAAACCTCTCAGCAGCTGCGGTGGGCAACACAATTGTGGCAAGCCAACGCTGTGTCCCTGCACGCCAACGAGCGCACCGGAGCTGTACGCTGCTGCGCCCATTGCCCTTTTCGGGCATTTTCGACTACTGCGGGTAATTCATGCTCCAGCTTGGGGGCAATCCACGTCCACCCACATGCCGTCATTCAATACATCCAACTGGCGTGATTCAGCCCATCTGTTCATGTGACGTAATTCCGTCCATACGAACAGCTTCATTGACTGCGTCCATCCGGCGTCGCTGTGGTGTTTGGCTGCAGCTGGCCCTGCCTCGGGCTTTGGCAGTGCCAGATTGGCACGTTGGCAGAGGTGCGCAGTTATCCATGACTCTGGAATTTGCACACTTTCCATTGACGTTTCTAATCTGAAAACGGTGTTTCTGAATCGCACTTTTTGTGAATGATATTTTCAAACATGTTGTAAACTAGATTCCGCCAGCGCAAGTTTAGGTGGCGAACGCGGCTCAGAGAGTCGCACTGGAACACCTGAAGCGCCAACCCCTTTTCAGGTGTGCACGGGATGGGCAGCCTCTCTATGCTTTATGCTCTTCGCCGCTGGTTATGCCCCGAGTTCTGGTGTGCCATGATCCAAGGTGGTCGTGTTTTGCGATTTTTGGAACACAGTCCGAAATGTTGTCGAAACGTTTTTACGTGCAACACATTCCTAAACTAATTCCGACAGGCAATGCACAAGAGGTAAATCGGGCTCGGGGCTGGCAACGTTGCGCGGAAACACCCCGACCGCCGGCCTTTGCGGGTGCGCGCAGGATGGGCAGCCTCCGCACGCTCTTCGTCCGCGGCCTGGCCGAGCGGGTGTCCGAAGATGCCCTGAAGGTGAAGTTCGAGGCCGTGGGCCCGGTGCTGCGGTGCTTCACCGTGGCGCCCAAGTCGGGCGGCGCGCACTTGGGATACGGATTCGTCGAGTTCGAAAAGGCGGCCGACTGCAGGGCGGCCAAGGAACGGCTGAACGGCAGCGCCATGGAGGGCAAGCCGATCAAGGTGGGATGATGGTCGCTGTTGCGATAGACGGTTCGACAATGGATTGCGTCCCAATGCTCCGCGTTTTCTTTGGCGGTTGTCGAGTTCCAAAGGGGGACGACTGGAAGGCGGCCAAGGAACGGCTGAACGGAAGCAAAATGGAGAATATGGCGATCAGGTTCGGCTGATAGGTGTGATAGCGAGAAGAAGAAGGAGAAGAATCCTACGCGTGGTGTTTCAACATACCTGTGCATGCCACCACCCTTATGTGGTGTACCCAAAAATGTATTGAACAGCCGAACCTGTTTGAAACAGTGCTTGGAACAGCTGAAGAGATGTCCGCGCGATCGCGAGAGACGCTTCGATTGTGGATTCTGTCGTGATGCTCCGTCCTTTCTTTGCCGGGTGCGGGGAAAAGGGGGATTCGAAGTTTTTGGCGCTGCTCGTGTGGCAGATTGAATTCGCGCGCAATCGGGCTGGGAAAGAGGAGCGGAAGAGGCCGAAGAGGGAGGGCTCGTCGGAGGAGGGAAAGATCAGTGCGAACGGGGAATCGACGTCAACAAAGTTGGCAATCCCTGTGGTGCTGAAGACGCCGCACGTGCTGGTGCGGTCTGTTGCGGTCGGCGGCTTTACCGCGCCGCTGGCAGAAGCGGTTGAGGAGCTGTCTCGGGGAGCTGGAGAGGTGGGTATGGGCTCATGTCTCTGCTGCGGCCGCCACTGGGTCCGGCATGTGTGAATGATGGATCCATTGCAGTACTGTGCAAAAGATACACTGGTCACGGAAAGTTTCTCCGGCGAGTTCAGACCATAGGATGGCGTCAGCCTTCTTGTCGGTGTACAGAGGTATCACAGGGCTTAGGAAATTTCACCCGCACCTCCCACAACATGAAAGGGTTTGATGTGTGTCTGCATTGCTCATTCTTTTCACGGCTTCAAACGAATGAAACTCAATTGGCATTCGTTACATTGCGCGTGAAATAACAATGTCAAGTCACGCATCGCATGCTTGGCTCATCAGCATAGCAAATAAGAAGAAGAAAACAGTAAACTGTATTTTGGCTTATCCCACCTCTTGATTTTCAGTCAGAAATGCAGGAAGCGAAGGGCAAAAGAAGTGGAAGGTTGGTGCGTCATTTTGTTAATGATTGGCTGCATGCAGATCAACATCTCGCAGGTCAATTGGAAGATTTGGTACCATATTCTTTCATTGTTGCATGGAAGAATGGTGGGCAGTGGAATGGCAATGGTGCTCACCATGTGCCTGAAGTTCACAGTTTTAGAAACGACCAAACTGAGTCCAGAAATGCATCAATTATGGAGATAATGTATGGCGTTGCACCGATTGAGATCCTGATGTGGCCATTGTCATGCATGCAGGTTGAGGCTGTGATTAGTCCTCTCCCAGCTGACATTTGTGAGTCGGCAAACCTTGCAAGGGATGGTTGCAAGGGCGAGTCCATGCTCGTGGTGTACAAAACGGTGAGGAGCCTTGTTGTATTGTTGGTATTGCTGTACATGCATCCAGCCCTAAATAGACAGAAGCTGCTGACATGGTGCAGTGTAGATTTTGCATCAATAGCCCAGCATGGTGCTCTCCATAGTAAGAGAATCTGAGAAATTACCAACCAATTCGATTGTGGCCAGTGCTGAATATGTGCTGGTATGGCTGTGCCTGATGATGGCTGTAGAATTGTGGAGCTCTGAGTGATTAAATCTTTGTCATGTGCAAGTTATTGCTGCATTTTTGCTTGCCTGCATTTAACTATTGCTAAGCTTTTGATTGAGATAGATATATGTGGCACAAAATTAACTGGTGGTAAGTGTCCTATGGGCTCCAAGTGCACACTTTTGTGCTTCTCACCATGACCCTAGCATGGTGGATGTTAGAAGGCGAAATGCCACGCTCAGGAGCTGTTAGAGCCGTGGTTGGGGATGCACTCCAACACTATCGATGCTCAGGAATGTCAGTGGCAACTGGACGACAACATGCTGCCCACACACATTGGTGGCATCTAAGTTCCTTGCAAATGTGTTGAAGATCTTGGTGGGGCAGATGGAGCTGGTTCCATGAGCTAAAAGGGATCACCTGCATGAAGTTACGCTGCAGCAAAAGAGGAGTCGGAAGTCAGGAAATGTTGATACCCACCGGCTTTGTCACAGGAGGGCTCGTTGCTCATTGCCCAAGAGTTAATTGTAGAGGGGCTGTGAATGCATACAACCCTGCTGTTATTACTTGTTTGTTGCATTTGCCAACAACCAACCACTGCCACTGCAACTGTCAGGTGACAACGGTCAGAGTTCACATGCGCAGATGCATGCACTGGCAGTATTTGTGCAACCATACTGTGTTTGGTGAAACAGTGTGCTGGTAGCAACTAGGTGCAGGCTTGCAAAGCGTTGCCTGCGGGGCCCGAGTGAGAGATGGTGTGATTGTCAACTTCCAACCCTGTGGAAATTCAGTATGCAGAGAGTGCCAACGAGACACAAAGACCAGGAGGCCTTTCGGTTGTTGTAGGACGTTGGTCGCTGAGATGCTGGTGATGTCTGGACAACTCCAAAGAATATCTTGTAGTGTGGCCTCCAAGCTGGTTGGAGGGATATCTGGCCATGATGGCAGCCTTGCAATTCAGTATCAGATTGTGGGTGGCACAAGACCTGAATCTCTTGTCTTAGGATGGGGTCAGCACCTGGACTCCCTATTGTGTTCCAATTTTAGGAACAGAAAATCGTTTTGGCTGGAATGTGCACTTTGGATTTGCTGTGGCTTGTGAATGTGTCTGACATGCCCCATCAGCGCCAACGATTGGGGTGACAAACTTGAAAGATGGTTGGGTTACTCCTCATGCTTCTGGATGCAGGTTAAAATGGCAATGGAGGCCGTCAGTCGACTGCATGGACAGGCTTGCAGGTCCAGCAGGCCAAAGAAAAAGAGAAAGAAATCTGAAGATCCTGCTGTTGCTGCCTCAGTGGAGGAGTGCAAGCTCTGGTGCCGCCAAGTGTCTGGTGAAGGGGCACACTTGAAAAAGTGGCGCTTGATTATCCGCAACCTCCCTTTTCAGGTTGGGTTCTGTTATTGATACTGGCGGTTTGTAGACCAACGGGGGTCTGCAGATGTCACAATCAGGTGTTGTAGAGGAGACAGAACGATGGCTATTCATGTGTGCTGCTCTTGTCACCATGCCTTCATGCGCTGGGCTTGCCGCGCTCCCTGAATGTCCTGTTGGTGACGTCGCTCACTACAAAGTTACTGGGAATTGAGTAGTAGTACTTAGTAGCCCTGGTTGAAGACAGGGCAGCAGTATAAGAGCAGCCAGAGTGTCCTGTGGGCCATTGTTTTGATGTCCAATAGCTCATAGGCACATTCACTTTGCCTGGTTGGTATCTAGACTTTTCCACAACATAGTTGGATTGAAGAGTCCTTGCTGTCTAATGGCTGCATAGATGTCCCCATGGACATTCCCACACAGCGGCTGTGACCACGATTATTTGCTGCAGCAAGGATTCTGCTATTTGGGGGCCTCGTGCTACACCTTCCTCGTTTTTGTCAACGTGACAGAACACCATGCTGCAACATGTGGCAATGAACTAATTGAAGTCGTTTCGATGGCTGGCTTCAGAACTTTTCTTGTTTTGTTGAGAAAGGTGACGGAAGAAGCTGTGCGCGAAGTCCTGCAGGCTGCTGGATTTGTTTGGCAGCTGGACCTTCCTCGAAAAGAAGATGGTGAGTGTTGACAAGGACTTGGTGCCCTTGTTTCGCTGTGGTACAGAGTATTTATGTTCCAAACCTGCTTTGCAAGCAACCTTTTGGTGAGCACAAGTGCTGGAGGAGTTTACACCCAAGTGCATTTCCACTCCACTGGAGGCCTTGGGATTGCTTTGAGTCTGTGGACGACCAATTGACATTCTGATGAAGCTAGGATCATGGTGGTGTGAACAAAGAAACTAGTGGAATTTGGCTGGCATTCGGCCAGAGTCTTGTGAAAGTCGGTTTTGTGAAACTGTTGCCAAGGCATTGCAGAACAGCCATTTGTCACCTTGAAATGTGCCCAACTTTCCAATGGGTGACAAGGGCAGCGGTTAGTCATATTGTGCACTTCTGTCAACTTTGTTGACTGTGTTCGATGACGATGTGCACTGCTTAGAATGACACTGCAAGGGTCCAATGGCATAAGCTCAGCCTCAAACCATGTAGCATATGTTGTGGTGCATATAGACAGGCGAAAGCTCCATCTAAAAGCCACACAATGTACGCCCGCATGGCCAGTCATTCGTGCTAACAGCCAGTGCTACCCCTGGGTTGAGAACATCGCCGTGTGTGGGCGATGCAAGGGAATGAATGAGCTCAACTTAGGGCTGATTGTGCACAATTCATGGGCTGTTCAATTTGTCTGCTGCTGGTGCGAGTTTGTTCTTGGCACACTGTGGATGTGCTTCCAGAGTTGTATGGCTTCTGCAGGTAGCCTCAAGGGATTTGGATTTGCCACATTCACTTGTTGTGCGCATGCTGAGAAAGCCATATCGACCATTAACGGCAAGGTGAGTTGGACGCATCCTACCACACAGTTCACACATCTTTCTCTGACAATACTGTCACCCAACCTTCATCGACATTCAAGTCAACTGGCTCGATTCGCCAGCTACAAGAGAATGCAGTCCTCTTTGCATGTGCCAGTGTGACCTTTGGGTACAGGAAGTTTCTCATAATAAGAGGAGCATGACACTTTCTTCCTAGCCAAATGGTATTGGAGATGCTTTGTCATGCTGTGAAAGATGATTTGGTACCGCTCAAGTGGAACAGGAAAGTGCACGGAACACAGCAGCGCATATAGCAATGAGATCTGATCGGCACTCAGCAGGGCCTATCATAGCAAGAACCTGTGGATGTACTGGCACTTGTACAGTGTTCATTTTGTGTAGTTAATAGCTTGCTTTGGTGCCCACAGTCTATTGGGGGCAGACAAGTTTCCATCGATTGGGCTGTGGGCAAATCTGAGTACATCCAACAAGTGAAGCACCACGCAGCAGAACCCAAAGGTACGCATGACTCACAAGCCAGCTGTACTTTCTGTCAACAAATTCTTCTGACTTGAATGATATTCCAAAGAGCAAAGTTTTGGTGCTCTTCGTGCTGAATTCGCAGAAAGTGCAACTTACTTGAGGCCCACTGTGGGGTCTTCTGAACTGTGGTCTTGGTGGCAGTGGTGGGGATTGGGTTTTCAAACAGCAGCGATGCCCAACATGCGACCCAAGTACACTGAGTGTGGCAATGACAAGGAACAATTGTTGGCACGTCCATGACTGCATTTGACTGTTCTTTCTGAAATAAGACAATTTGTTCAAAGAGAATGGCTTTTTCTGGATGTGTGCCCTGTGAGCAGGATGTCCTGCTGCTCTGTTGTTGTGAACGTCAGTGTTGTAAAGACAGCTCAGATTGTTATTTGCAGCGCAAATGTATTTAGATGCAGGTGTTGCTTGAACATAGCGTGTTGCTGAGTGTCGTTTCTTTGATGCCTGTCAACAGTCGCTTTTTGTTTTTGCTTTTGTCTGCTTTTATACTTTCGTCTTCAAACAGGTTTCTGTGCTGTGTAGCTGTGCACATGGGTGCTGAAAATGGAAGCAAAACAGAGAAAGGAAGCCAGATGGCAAATTACAACAAGCACAGCCAAAGTGCTGACAATGCAGAGGCAGATGTGAAGTCAGAAACCAAGATGATGCGCAATGTTTTGCAGCAGTTCCTGGTCGACGAAGGAGAAGAGGGAGAAGCAGTACAGGAGAACAATGTTAGACCCAGTCCTGGTTCTGATGGGCAGGTGCACCTCTTTTGTTCCTTTCATGTCTATCTGTTCGTTCAAGTAGACATCTGATTGTCCCAAGTCGGGTGACGAGATTGGAAATTGTGACATTTTCGAATGTCTACTTGCATGGTACTGTCGAGAGACTTGTTGCCAATTCAGTAGAAAAGGCTATGGTTGAAGAGTGCCTGCAAATGCACTTATCAATTTTCACACTCCTGACCCAAATGGTGGTGGTTTGAATGTGCTAAGAGTTTGCTCATGTGCTGAGAGGCGTTCTGTGTGGCACTGTGTAGGAGGGGGGTGGTTCGCCCAGAGTAGGTGTGGACATGGAAGCTGCACTGTCAAATGGCCGGGAGGAAAGGAAGGCTCGATATCAGCAAAAGCACACTGACAATGCCAAGAGCTGCACTGTATTTGTGAGGGGCCTTCCACTGGATGTGAAGAAGCACATGGTCATGGCGGCACTGGAGAGATTTGGCGCCATCAAGAGCTGCCGAATCGTTGTCCATCCTGACACAGGGAAGTCCAAAGGCACTGCCTTTGTGGACTTTGCGAATGCCGATGGGGCAAAGCAGGCTGTCGAGGAGGCAGAGTCGGGCCGGTGAGGGAAAGGCCATGTTTGACCTGCTTGTATGCTTTTTTGATCCAGATTCCTTGATCAAGTCCAAGATTCCTTAAATCAGGGGTAAGATTCCATGAATCAAGATTCCGTAAAAGATGCATCAGCACGAAAGGTTCAACACCTCTGTGAAATGTCGAAACAGAATTCTTGTGCAACTGGAACAGTGGCAGCTTCAGGGTGTGGCACCCCAAAGAAGATTAACCCTCACATGAATGTGTTGATAGAGTATGTCAGTGTGTCTGGAGCTAGTGGCACATGTAGTTCAAGGAATCTTGTCAACAGTGGTTGAAACTGTACATATCCTGGTGTGTGTGGAAGATATGTCCAGCAGCTCCAAGCAATAGACAAGGCTTGCGATGTACACATCCTCCAGTACGTTGTTTGGGACCCAGGATTGTTTCTCGATGGTCTGCTGAAACTGTGGGCTCTTAGACTACCCTATGGTGACTTTGTGGGATATAGGGCATGCTATCTACGATAGAGCTTATGGCTGTAGAAAAAAATTGCAGCTATTATTGTCATGCCCTTGTTTGGCAGCACTGCCCTGCATGCCGCTGGCTCGATTTGCAACCTGTCAATGCATCGTGACTATGCGCTGTGGGCCAAGAATCCTTTGCTGTAAGATGCAGCAGAGGACGATAGGCTCAGTTCAGTAACAAGCATTGAAATGTTGATTTGAGGTGTTGAGTGGGCGTTGTGGGACGTGGCAGCCAAGGAAAGAGCGCTGGCATCAGCATACTGGGCTGCATGCTGACGGTGAATTTGGCCCTGAGCCGAGAAGGTATCCAGCAACTGGCGAAAGAGAGAGGAGATGCTTGGAGAAAGAAAGACAAGAGGAACCTCTACCTTGCAAAGGAAGGCGAGATCGAGGAGGGGTCCCAACTGTGGGTGGAATTGTCTCCTGGAGACAGGACAAAGAGGCGGCAAGCGGGGGTCCAAAAGAAGCAGAAACTTGGGAATCCGAACTTCTATGTGTCAACGACACGGTTGTGCATTCGGAATCTTCCTGGGGCCATGGAAGAGAAGGAACTGAAAGAGATGTGCATCAAGGCGTGCAAGCAGCGGGCCACAAAAGCAAACCCACGCATCAAGCAGGTAGTCGATATGCTCGAATGGCAGTCACTACCAGTCTGTCTGGTGCCAGCACTGGTTCTTTGTGTTGATTGACCTTTGTGTAGTGTGGACATGTGTATTAATGGTTCGGCAGCCTGACAGCATGGTCTAAGTGTACACACACATATGTTCTGTTGATGCTACAGGAATTTTGCTTTGTGCTGGTTCTGTGTGCAACGTGGAGCTTATTCCACTCAACAGCATTGCCCCAGTTAGGTGAACCATCAGCAGCCACTTTCGAGCCTTATGTCTCCCCAGGACTGAAGTGGACTGATACACCATCTATTCAGCGTGGGGCATCATGGATGTATCTGTCTCCACAAGGTTTGTGTTGCTGCAGTGTTTGTTGCAGCTCTGTGTGCATTTGGTCTGCAGGTCAAGATCCTAACTGAAGAGAAAGGAAATGGCAGGTTGAAATCGAGGTGTCGAGGTTTTGTGGAGTTTTACCAGCATGACCATGCTCTGGCCACGCTGAGGCAGCTGAATGCCAACCCACATGTGTTTGGGCCCCAAAAGCGGCCCATCGTCGAGTTTGCCATGGAGAATGCAAAGAAGGTCAAGCAGCACGAGGCAATGGTTGCTGCAGCCAGGGCCAGGTGCAAGCTCGAGAAAGAAAGGAGGGAGGCCGATTCGGAAGGGCAGGATATAAGAGAGAAGCCCACAAGGGGCAAAGGGAAGGCTGCGGAGCGTGCCAAGCCCCTGGTAGAGAGGGAAGCGCCCAGTCGCCAAGCTGAAGGGGACAGTGTGAAGCCAGGGGCCAAGAGGAAGATGGCAGAAGGAGAGCGCAGGAAGGCACAGCAGGACCGTCAGAAAAAGATTGAGAATAAAGCGCAGGAAAAGAAAGAGGCGAACAGCACAGGGCCTGCAGGACCAGAACTATCCAGAAAGGTGTGGATATATGCCGCATCAACGCTTGAAGCCAGCCGGTGATGGCATCAGGTGTCGCGTTGTGGAGAGTGCCATGCATGGCATTGCCTGTATCAAGCACATCAAACTTGCCTGAAACTCGCCTTTTGGATGGCTATCTTCTACGCTTAAGTGAATTTTCAACGATCGTTTGCTGCTGACAGATTCCGGCATCAGGAGGAAAACAAAAACAGCAGGAGCAGCTGGCAAAGGGGAAGAAGGAGGTGCACAAAGCTGCAAAGAAAGGTGTGTGCAATTGCTGCTGTTGCCTTGCTGAGCATGGTTTGGAGGCCCCTGTTAACAAAGAACTGTTCCGTTGAGACACCGTTGCCACAAGTGGGTTGCGTGGGTGGATCGATCTCCAAGGCCACGAACACTCATCAAATGTTCATGCCGGCCAAGCCCACAGACATAAACTCCGATCATTGGAAACGGACCGTACAAGAAGCTTGGGGGTGCACTTATCATTCGCATCCACCCACATTGTTGGTGCATTGTCTTGGAGCGATTGCGCATAGCAGCATGGGCAATTGCCACAGTGCCACTCGAAAGCGCGCCCCCTTCACACACTAGAGCTTCGATTGGTGTTCGTCCCACATGGGCCAGTTAAGAAATGGAGGTCGCAAACATTATGCGCACCTCCGGCACTGCTTTATGGTTGGCTCCTGCTTGGCACAGCATAAGTAACGACAAGCTGTACCCACTTGCCCTCCACGTGTGCCATAACGGTATCTGATGTGGCAACAATGCTTCATTGTAAAACAATTGTTGCAGGTGATTCAGCAAGTCTTGGGGAGTGTCAAGCACAGGCAGTAAACCGCCCAGAATGTCGCACGCGAATATTCTATGCACTGCCTGAACATATCTGCAAAGGCTTGCTCTCGCTGCTGCGCCTGCAGAATTGAAGCGAAAGCGGAAGGCCGAGCCTGAGGAGAAAGACAGTCTGGACAACCTCGTCTCCAAGTACAGGACAAAGTATTTCGCTTCGCCCAAACCCGAACCTGGACATGTGACGGAAAATTCTTTTAGCAAGTGGTTCTCTTAGCATCGTGGGCCACTTGCCACGAAGTCATCAAGATATGGGCCAAAGTGTGGGATGAACTTGCGAAATAGTGCAGTCTAACTCTGTGTGCAGTCTTACTGAACTGAGCGGAGTCAAGAAAATTTTATTGTAGCTGCTTGGCTGCTCTGTTTTGTGTTGCAAGCAATTGCTGAACACCCGTTTATCCGTGTTTGCTCCCCCCATTGTTTGCACACACGTCTCTGCGACGAGGCAGCACAGCATATGTGTGTGGTAGCACGGTATGTGTCCATGTCCATACCCAAGCGTCGTCTGTGACCTCCAACACAAACTGGGTGTCCTGTTTGGCACTTGACAGCCTTGATCAGCCATATGGGCTGCTGGAGGCCTTCGCAGACGAGCCACCTGGTGAGTGGCGTTCCCCGCATGTGCCATTACAAGATTGCATGATTCAGGCACGAACCTGCCATGGAATGTTGCATGACAGCCCTGTGGACTCTGTCCAGCTGCTGAGCCCCGGCAGCTGACTCGAATGGTCTAATTTCAGCAGGGGGACATCGGTTCGATCTTTGGTCAGCATGCGTGCTTGAAACCTGTGGGGCTTACTCACCTGGCCACTATTGCATGTGCGGCAAAAGGTATGCACCGTGGTGATTGGCGCAGGAGTGTTGGTGGGTTTGAATTTGGCAGTATCTGCCGTTATCAGCACAGCGCTCTGATCTGCAGTGCCCAAACACCGCTGCTGTGTCGCTGGAGAATGCTGCTTGCACAGCAAGTGCACTGAAGCAGCTGACGCCAGCAGGGAACCCATTCAGCTCTGAAGAGTTGCAGCTCGCCCACCCCCCCACCCCCCCCAATCCGTCCATTTTGAAGATATTCCTGGCAAGTTGCGCGATGGTGCACACAGACCCAGCAAATTTCCCCTCTTCGCCAACGAAAAGGGCGATATCCTGTAAATTGTGAAGCATGAACTCTGTCGGCACGACCCGCGCAAGTTCAAACTTGCAACAACACTCACCATCCGCTGTCCTTGAACTGCTTGTGTTCAAATGGGAGATGTCTTGGATGGTCCACCCACCACATCCTCAACCACATCTAAACACAGCTGAAACAAACACAATGCAGTGCTCTCGTCGCTTGAGCACCACGTGCGCCGCGCATGCCCCTCCTGACCATCCTGACTGCGAAAGGTCAAGCTGGTGGTTCCCTTCGTTGTGTGTCAAATGGCCAGAGCAAGGGAAGACCGTGGATACTCCAGGCACAACCGCCCACCGTCGACTGCCCCCATTCTCGTGATGTTTCAAGCCTCTGAAAATGTGCACCAACTCAACCGTCAAAATGGCAAACCTCACCTGAAAACCTGCGCGTGGGGGTGCCATTGCGCTCGCTGGCTTTGCCCTTCCACTGGCCATTCCAGTGCATCTAACATGTGAACACCGACCCATCCAAGCTCATCCTGCTGGCTCCCCCATCAAATCACATGTCGGCCATACCGCAGCGCCACAACTCCACAGTCCCACCCTCCCAGAGCCCATCGACTTTCCCGCTCTTTCAAAAGTGTTCCTCAATGCGCATACGACATCCAACGCAAGTGCTGTGCCAGGATACAACCATACCAAACAGAATAAGTGGTCACAGGCGAAGTCAGCACCCAACGGCCGAGATCCGTACCACACGTCCGCAGAATTGCTCCCAAACACAATGCCCAACATCAGAGCATCAGCAGAGAGCAGCCAGGACTGGACGCCAGGGATTTTCTGCCAGCAGCACACAAGGCCGGACAGTCGCGTGCACTGCACTTGCACGGTCCTCTGACTAACGTGGCAGCTGGCAGAACCGCCAACCATACATGGACAACCTACATCCCATGGTGCCTGCATGGCTCCCTCAGCTGGGCGCTTGCGGCGGCACCTGGGACACCATGACCTCAGCACCCTCCACTTCTGACGCAGCCGACCGCCGTGCCTGATTAACGGCATTCCTCGCGTCTGCGATCCTCCGCAGGAGGTTCACAACCTCCGGAAATCTGTCTGCCACCTCCTTGAAGTCCGCGCAGGTGAGCGCATAGATATCCGAGTATGTCACCGACCGGGCGTTGGCCATCCTGTGAGTAGTCTGGTCGCCCTCCAGCCAGGCCAGCAGGGCAAACTCCCCGAAGTAGCTGCCCTTAGACAGGACCGTAAGTATGTTGCCATCGTCTGCCTCTATCTGCACGATGCCACTGAGTATAAAGTACAGGTTGTCTGCAGGCTCACCTTTGTGGAAAACTAAGTCCCCGGGAGTGTAAGCCTCGCGCACCATTTTGCAGACCAGGGCGCGCACAACGACGACCCTGCAGGCCTTGAATATGGGCACGTTGAGGATGAGCTCCTCGCAGAGGTGGAGGTAGATGTCTGTGCGCAGGCCCTGCGGCAGGCCCATCAGCAGGCTGTGCTCGTCGAACATCTTCCTTGTGTAGTAGCGGTGCTTCAGGTAGGCCGTGATCCGGTGCCTTAAGGACCGTGGCAGGTTGCAGTAGCTGAAGTACTCCTGCCAGATGGCCATCCTTTCCTCGTACATCGCCCCGCTGCGGTCCATGCTCAGCATGAGAGAGCTCATTATCCCAAACAGCACAATGTACAGCGAGGCGCCCGTCACCATGCTGAGCGTGGTGACCCAGATCTCGGCATGGGTGGCAGGGGGCTCCTCGCCGTACCCAATGCACAGCATGTGGGACAGGGCTTTGAAGAGGGAGTAAGAGTACTGGTGGGCTCGAGAGGCATCCAGCAGGCCCGTGTTGGTGACCCATCCCTGGTCTGGGAACCCCTCCAGCTCAGCCACCAGGAATTGGAGGCAGCCGTTGAGGTGCGCGAAGACGAGGATGAGGAAGACCAGCTTGAACATGCGCAGGCTGTGGGAGTTGAGCGTCAGGCTGTCCTGCCATTTGCTGATGTAGCTGAACAGCCGCGGCAGCCGGCAGAACCTACCGATTCTGGGCAGCCTCGAGTACTTCCTCAGGGTGTCGTTGCCGCTGCGCAGGACAAGTAGATTTCAGTGCTGGGCAGGGATACATGTCCACACACAGATTTGCTGTCATTAAGTGTGCCAGTCTGCCCCAGTTGCGCACTAGGAGTACCATGCATTGGGAGAGGATCTTATTGTGCAGCTGTAATTGTGCTTCGTGGTTCATTTTGCCAGCCAGACGTGTTGCTGCCACCCCGCTAAGATATGAGAACAATTGTCCACCCTTGGGCCTGTGCTGTGATCGAAGCGACCAACTTTGCAGGACCTCACAGGGATGAGATGCAGTGGCGCAGCAACTCACCGGCCACAGCACTGTGACTGCTGCCAAGATGACATGAAGTGTTAGCATTTTGAAGTACAGTGTCCCATCACAACCTAATGAATCTCCAAAATTGATGCATTCTCAAGTACTATGACCTGAACAAAGTGTAAATTGCCTAACTGAACCAAGTGTTTGTCCAAGTTTGAGAGTGCGACATGGCAATGCATAGTCAAAGGAGAGCCTTTATCATGGTATATGCAACAATGGGCAACATCTGTTGTCAATGCCGGCACTGCGTGCACCTGCTGCAAAGGCACAGCGGGAAATTACCTCTGGAGCGCCACAACAAGCTCATAAGGAAGCGAAGAAACGATGTCCACCAAAAACCAAGAGCTCAAATATGCCATCCTCACGTCCCTTGCACCCATCACGGTCACTCCACTGTCGTCATAGCCTGGTGTGCACATGGAGAACTGAGGACATGTCCTTGTGCAATTTTGGCTGCCCAGGCACCAGTGTGTGAAAGAGCAGGGAATTCTACACATACGTTGAGCTGCTGGGACATTTCAAAGGTGTGATTGCAAGCAACGATGGGGTTACCTTCTGCTGGTGCAAAATTGTCCATTTCCAAAAGAGTCGAGCTGTGATAAACTGGCAGCATGTATCTGTCAGTGCTGCACCACATGACAGGCGGGACCAGATTGTGCAGCCTTATCCATGTGCGGGGGCCGGGGGGCATTTTGGCAGAGGTTGGATAGCGTGTGCTGCTTTCACCGTGCTGCCCAGCGATGGAAAATGGAATGTTACTTTGAGGCACTGCATCAAGGGGCCAACTGGATGAAGTGCAACCAGCACAAGTGGGGTCCCAATTCACTCAAGTGCTATGTGAAGATTGTGAATTCAAATGCAATCTTGGCACAAAAACGCCTGACAAAAATGCACCTTTCCTGGCATGGATCCATAACATGGTTGTGGCACATGTGGCGTGGTTATCAGCTAACCATGCAAAAGGTCCATGCCATAGGGCACTGGCCTAGCAGATCATCTCAGGACAGATAACAAAGTAACCCATCCCATGCTCCAGCTGGAGACAGCAACATGAAGTGCAACTCCAGAGCACCAGGTAATTCAGCATCAAGTTGCAAATGGACACATGCAAAAGAAATTTTCAGAGTCCCAGCACAAAGAAAACACATCGGCAGGCATTGGGGTGTATTCAACTGGAAAACCTCCAGCATAGGCTTTGCACTGAGGCTGCCCCTGTTAGCATCAACATCACATGCTGGAGGACTGTATTCAACCCACAAGATACCTGCTTGGTGCTTGTAAGGGCCAAAATGAATGGCCAATCATTGTGTTGTATCTGGTTGCGACTGGCCAGGGGCAAGCCAGCAATTCACCTTGCTACAGCATTTCTATTGACCTTTGCGAAACAGTACAAAGAGAACAAGCATGGCCACTGCTGCTATTTCGACAGTCAAAGCGTGGCAAGGCAGAAAACCATCTGGCAACAGCTGCCTTTCTGCAACAGCATTGGACCAAGGTTGCATCAGATAATCATGAACAAGCTCTGCACAAAACAGGAGCTGAAGCACTTCATACTGCTCAAGATCATCTTGTTGACAATATTCAAATGTGCTAGAAAGTGCACACACTGCTCTTGAGCAAGGATTCACATGGAATTGACTTCCATGCTGCTGAAGATGCTTTTCATTTCATGAGGGCATGGAGGGGCATTTCCTTGGACATACTGTATCTGCCTTCCACTATGGTTCCCTTGCCAACAGCGCTCAGGGATGCTTTGTGGAGATTGGTAGCAAGGCCCATCAGGGAGAAGCACTTGCGATTGCAAAGAGCGCCCGGTGTTGCACAACAGGCAAAGGGCAGAGACTCATCATCATCTTTACTAGTACCTGAACTACATCGCCAATGAACGTTCACCAAATCGACTGTGCTCACAACAATTAATGAGACATGCTGTCCTCGATCAATTCAGTCAGTGAGATATTTTCACACCATGAGTTCCTACCTGTCTCCAGGTTCATGAACACATCGAACATGAATATGAAGTCCAGGATGAGGTCTATGATGAAGAGGGGCCCGATGTCCACACCAGCAAATGCAATCCGTGGTGGAAGGACAACACAGATGTAGGCAACGCACACCACGATCAATAGATCCCACCTGCAGTGCATTCCACACGGTGACTCAATGCGCCAATCGAGCGACATGTTGTCCACCAATAGTTCCCTTTGTTGGGACAGGCTAAGAACACAGCTGCTGCGAGCATAGCTGGCATTTACAGAAGGAGGCTGGCGCAGCCACACGACGGTCCATGCGTCATACAAGCAACATGTTGTGGTAGTACAATCTGGGACTGTGAGGTGACCGCTATCATGATCAACCTTGTCATTTCAGATAGGGGTTGATGTGGCAGGGAGGGGCTGGCACCCTGTCCCGTCACGTCGCAGAGGGGTGATCGCATCAGCCTCCATTTGTGCAGTCACAACTGCCCAGTCAGCTATCACAGGTGGTGTCAAGGCATAACGCACTGTGTACACTGTGGCCTGGAGCCACACATGCTATAATCACAATACCATGTAGTGATATCAATGCGTATTTCAACCACCACAGCTATTGCAAAGGTGACTGCTCACAGTGGCAGTCACCTTCGACACATTGACTTGCTATCCCAGGTTGCACCTGACCATGCTCTTCTGCTTGAGAACATTCACAGCACTTCTGTTCCAATCCATTGTGATGCATACCATCAGGGTAACATGTTGTTGATGGATCGATTGTTGTTGACACTTTTGTCCTTGTTGATTCAATCAATCAGAATCGTGGCTGACTTGCACCCGCCCCAAAATGGGCGGGATCAACCCAAGTAGAGCCCTTGTTGCTCCCACATATTGAATGTAGTCTGTGCAGAGTTGCAACAGCTCGGCCCAAAGTACCAACCAGTCTTCTCCAATTGGTGCTATTTCCATCAGCACCAAAAGGTAGCACTGTGGTGAGTTTCACAGTACCTTGAGCCATCGTCTGACAGTGGGCTCTTGGCAGACTAAGAAATGGGATGCTGCACGATGGAGAGAGAGCAGTGTTGATTGTGGTGAAGCAAGACCAACAATGCTGGGATGGCTTCAGATTCTGACCTGGCTCGTGCCTTGGAGTTTGGCTCAAATAGAACCCTTCTGCCTTCTGAGTCGTCAAAATTGGAGTCCTGAATGGGCAGTCCACTTCGATACTTGAAATGTGTGGACAACAATCTTGTTTTCCAATTGTGCTTTTGGGCTTTTGTTCGTGCAAAAATGAGCATAAGCATGATGCTTGATGTGTGGCAGCTCATATGTTTGACTGTGCTTGATTGCATTCACACATCACCTCCAGGCTTGGGTTCGAGGCGATGCTGGGAAATGCATCCATTTGCTATCCTTTCAAAATTTTGATGACGGACTTTCAGGACAAGTACGACATCACTGCGATTATGATGTCCATTGGCGAATAGGATAGGCTGGGATTTTTCTGTAACCTATGTGTGCCTGTGCAGGACAAGGCACATGTGTTTCGCCATCAATATGGTTAGTGCACTGTGTGGTGTCAATTTAATCCTGTACTGCAGGACATGTGGCACATGGTGGGGAAGATCTGCCACAGCATGCAAGAGTGAGGTGTATTGGGCACACTGACCTCCATCGCAGCTGGGCTCCCCAAAATTTTCTTCAACATGCCTTTGCGGTCTTTGGCCTGCACAACACGCCACTCGCCAATCAGCTGCTGAAAAGGCACTGAAGGATCCTGTGCAACCACAGCCAGCACAAAACTAAGCAGTTGTGCCAGCAAAGAGTATTCATTTTTTAAAACCATCCCAATTGTTCATACTTCTAAGTGCCTACATGCTTGCACTTAACAATGAAACGTCCTAGTCCTGCAAATGCTGGCGTATGGCTGTGGCTTCCACAAGGCCACCAGGTGACACCTTTGCAGTGATATCATACTCCTTGGACAGGAGGGGAATCTGAATGTGCGATGGAGGCAGACCAGCCCTTCTTAATGCTTTCAGCATTCCACAGCAGCTAGCCACACAGCCCCCAAGTGGTAATGGTCAGCAATACTAAACAATAACAATCAAACAATTCATCGCCAAAGCCAGTTCCAACAGGAGGGCAGGAGGGCAGTCAGTTTGAATGCTCTGTGATGCTGCGCATGTTCCATGTGGAGCAACCCAGGGTCAGGTTGTGCGTCATAGACCTGGTTGTTCAATATGCCTTGCAGAACAACTTAGTTCTGGGGCAGGAACAGCCCCTGACCGCCTGTCACGGGTAGTGAAATGATGCCCAGTAGGCCCTCAACCTTTTTCGCAAAACTGGGGAGCGTTGCAGTCAGCAGCTGAGCTTCCTCCTTCAGTTGTCCTGGCAGCAGATCCTCCAGTCCTATCGGTTCCCTGGAAAGGAACACGAAGAGCTGACAAAAAATCATTGCAGCTGCTTCTTCATTTGAAACTGTGGGGTGTTTAGCATTGTGGTTTTGGGGTTCAGGGGACACTAACCATGGAAAAGGCTACGGTTTTTGCAAAAACCCTTACAATCTCCAATCTGATCCATCACAATAGTGCAACAGCTCAAGATGCAACAAACACGCACTGATCATTTACTTAGGCATAAAAAACCATGCAGGTTTCTTGAGTTATCTTATGATTCCTAACCACCGTGTCGCATTGAGAAACCCAGTGCCGCCCCTGTCCCAACAAAAGATATGCCGGCCTTGTGCAAAGTAGGAAGAAAATGCAAGGCAAAGCAAAACCCCCAAGAAAATGATCGCATGAACTTAAGGCATGTTCTGAAACAAGAGAAGTTTGGCAACCATTGGGGGCAAGGGGAGCCTGGCAGAGCAGAAATCCCAGCAAATTGCAATCTCAGTTGTGCTTACATTCTCCTAGTCTGCAATGTCAAGTGCACTGAATATGCGCAGGCTGCATGCGCCACCTACTTTGCTGTACCCAACATTCCATCAGCTATGAAGCAAGAGGCTTTCGCCTTTCACGACGACTGAAACATAAGCAGAACTTAACCTCCAACAAGACAAGTGCTTACACCTTGTCATTGGGGCCCAAACACCTGGAACCTGGGACGTTATTGTTCAGCCAAATCGTCTTTGCGAAGGCAAGCCACAGAGATCTCCCGCACCAAACTTTGGTCACTCATCTCACACTTCCAGGCAGACTTGAGTTGGGCATGAACAATGCTTCCACTTCTGCGAGCATTTGCAGGCTGGCAATATGATGCTCTCCAGTGGTGCATCTGCTGACCCATTGGCAAACAATAACACCTTCCCCAATGGCAGCAGAGTCAGTTTAGTGAAAGCTGATCGGCGATGTTCTCAAGGAACTAACAAGTGTAGTGGTAACAACACTTTCTCTTCATTGAGAACCTTGCCGTCAGTTTCTTGATCAATTTCAGGCATCACGACGCCACAACTTTGCAAGCAGCACAAGGCCCGCCCAGACCCTTCAATGTGATGCAACATTTCGAAACACAAAATATCAAGCAAC